AATAAAACAGAGGAGGCAGAAATGTACAAAACTGATTCTAGTCAACATCAGGATGATAAAAGTACAAATATGTCATTAACAAAGAATACAGACATGAGTAGAGACAAAACACAAAAAGATTCAACACATTTGAAAGGAAAAGACTCTAAAATTACCATTGATGAATGTGTTAATAGTAATAAAAAAGATGATAAAATTACTCAGATTCAATCTCCGGTTAAGGATAGTAGCAGAGTCTTACCCCGAGATAAGGACAACATAAACACAGCAGTTCTCCAAAGTGAGAAAGAGGACAGTACGGGAGATGTGAGGGAAAGTAGCATAAAGAAGGATAAATCAAACACCTCAGGCAAAAATTCCACAGAGAACAAGGATGATGACTCCTCTGTCAGAAAAATGTCATCTTTAGAGATTACGAACAGAGAATCAATAGATAATGAGGAAAAAACAAATTGGAAGAAATTGGTCAAAGTAGATAAGATGAAATCTAAGAAAGTGAAAAGTAATCTAAGTTTAAAAGACATAATCAGCCAAACAAGAAAGAAATTACAGAAGCCTCTAAAAGTGACAGATTCAGTGCAGCCAGACCCTGGTCAGGATCTTCAGGATGGTCAGACAGAAATAGAGGCAGACAAAGTTATCGATAAACAAACAAATACAGAGGCTCCATCACCAGTAAATGTCAAGTCCAAAAATACTGAGAGAGTTAATGAATCCACTCAGTCAACTTTAGCAAACAATAAACATGGCATGAATGCAGATATAAAGGTTTTAACACAGGAAAATGAAAGCACTGGTGAAGACTCTGTTAATAAGAAAACATTAAAGCAAACTGAAAAAGATATTGGTTTTAATCTAAAAACAGATGAATTGAAAAGTAATGAAGTAAAACTGAAAATGGAAGAACATCAAAAAATAAATAAGTCAGATAACAGTTCATACAGGAAAATAGCCAACAGAGCACTTGAAGAAGAAAATTCAAGGTCACTTAAAAGTGCATCAGACAATATGACTAAAATATTGGATAAACAAACCTTAGAAGTGAGCATCAAGCAGCCAGAGGAGAAATCTAAAAATAGACATCACAAGAGTAAGACAACAGATGGTAAAACAATTGTACTGGACCCAGGTAACACAAAAAGTAACTCAACCACTGACGTAAACCTTGGCTCACGAGCAGACGATAAGGTTCACATCACACACAGCATAGAAGTAAGTGCTAAGGAATCAAAGCTTGTCAATCAAGGAAAAGAATCAAATGAAATGTGCCAAGGTACACTGGCTGTATACAAACACAGGAAAAAGCAATCTCAGGCTAAAAATGAAGCAGAGGTCATAGGGGTCACAGAACCACAGAGTAATTTAGATAGAAAGAATGAGACAAGTAAAGGCAAAACAAATCTGAGAACGACAAGTGTGGTAGAGAATAACACTGAACTGAAGAAGTCGAGCAGGGGAGAGTTACACAGTGGAGACAAATCTGGTACATCATTAGATCAAGATTCTGTATATAATGAAGGAATAAAAGATGAAAAGAACATCTGTGATAATATTCAGCAGGGGAATTCATTTGTCAATAAGCAAAGTAATAAAACAATTGGAGTGTCACAAGGATCAGAAGAAACAGTTATAATAAAACCAGATGTCAGTGCTGAGTCACCTTGGAATAAAGACAGTAAATCATCAAATACAAGCAAAGAAACTTCTTATAAAAAGACGAAAGTGTTGAGGGAATTTGTAGTAATTAATGATGTCAAACCTGTAAGTGATGGCGACATTCTACAAACAGGGAGAACAGCAAGAAAAATGAAGGATTTAAGTGAGCTGGAAGCAGAGGCTACAGCTATAATGCCTAAACCTGTTAGTAAGAAGGTGTTACTGCAGGAAAGTGACATAAAAAATACAGAGGGAAGTGAACAGATGAAGAATGTACTAGGAAACAGAGTGAAATCTATTGATGTGGACAATAAATCTGGTGATGAAACATCAGCTGGGGTAGAGAATGGAAACAATGTTCCACCTCAAGAACTACAACCAAAGAAAAAAGAATTGGCTGAAAAGGAAGATAAAAATAGTTTAAGCAAAACGGAAGATAAAAAAAGTTTAAGCAAAAAGGACATGTTGCAGACTAAAACTAAGAGCAGACACAAGTTTGAATTGCCTTTATTGAAGTCTTCAAAAGTAAAGGCTGATTCATTAGCACCCGAGAAAACAAATAATCAAAATGATAGTGTTAATGAAGAAAAAACAGAAAAAGGGGTCTTATATAGTGACAGTAAAACTAGCCAGAAGGAAGCAATGACCCCAAAAGCTGAAAGGGGTGTTAACCTTAAAAGCACCAAAGTTGATAAAAAGCAGGTCTCTGATAAGGAGTCCAAAACCAAGAGTGCTCTGAAAGTTAAATTTGATACCGAAGTGAAATATTCAAGTGGAAGTGAAGAAAATGAGAATTTTAATAGAAAACATTCCAAAGATGGTAAAGCAAGTATAAATAAGAATTCACAAGAGGACAAAGAGGTAAGACAGACTGGTGGATCACCAAAAGAAAACAGGAAGAAAGAAGTCAAAGAAAATGAGCAAGGTGGACCAAAGCAAAATGGGAAAAAACAAGAAGTATATAATGATCCAGGTGGCCTACTTAGTCCAACTGGATCACCAAAGCAAAATCGGAAGAAACTAGCAGCTGGAAGTGATCTAAATGGATCACCAAAACAAAATAGAAAGAAACTGACCACCACAAGTGATCCAGGAAATGGTGATCTACAGAAGAAGGTCCATTTCAAAGATGTAGACAAGGATTATCAGAGGAAAGTCTATGCACAGGAAGTAGCCAAAAAAATTCAAACATCCATCATTGCTGACATGAGGAGTAAACTTAGATCTAAAGCAGCAGCCATTGAGAAACATCAGGAGAGGATAAAGGCAAAAGAGGCTAAGGCTCAGGAAAAGAATTCACAACCCATAATGTCAACCACTCAAACAGGGGTCAAAGAGAATTCACAAGCTTCAGTACCAACCACCAAACTGTCTCCTGAAACACCTACACAGTCCCCAGACAACAAGAAAACTCCAGATCTGTCAATGAGCTTTCCGTCTGAAAAGTCCAAACAAAAACCTACAGCAACTGTCAAAACAATGGAGGAAACTGATGTTGTCCAAAAAAATCAGACAAAGGATAAAATTATATTGGAACAAAAGGAAAATTTGGTCACAGAAAATAAGGAAGCCAAATCTGTGAAACAAAATGAAGTAAAAGTGATAGAAAAATATAAATATGGCAGTAAAGATAATGAAGACAAGAAATTATTTAGTGGAAGTGAACAGAATATCAGTTCCTCTAAAATACTACTCACTAAAAATAGAGAGTTGTCAGAGAACATCAAGAAAGGAGAGCAGACAGACCAAAGCTTCTTTGATGTTTCAAAGTTTATCACAAACACTAAAATTAAGGAGTTTAAGAAGGAATTGAACACCGATGATCAATATTCTGAGAAAGAGAAGAAACTAAGTGGAAAAGACATCCAGATAACTAGAGGTGTTGAATCAAATCAGAGGAATGACATTCAGTTTATTTCCACAAGTTTCTCTGGACCAGAGTCACCAAGCAGTGTAGCCAGCTCAAAAGATGATCAGAAGTCACCTGAATTCACTTATCAAAGGTTTGACTTTGATGAAAGCTCAGAGAGCAAATCTCACAGCTCTGACTCTACAGTGAGAGCTGAGCAAGGCTCTGATGAGGAAGAAGAAGTAGTGGAAGATAGTAATGAGGATATTATGGCAGAGCTGAGGAAGCTTCTTCCACTGGAGATCTTCAGTACAAGGAGGAGACATAAAAATGAGGAGGATGAGGATGTTCCTTGTGACTGCTGTGAGTGTCAGGGATCCAGTGAGGATGAGTATAGCATGGATGGGAGGATGCCTCAGCTGTCAGTGATTGGGGAAGAGGATGAGGAGACAGTGTCTGTGTTTGATCCTGATAAAATGGACAGTGAGGAGATGCAATTCCACAGGACATTCATGGAGAAAGTATACAGCAGGAATCCTCGAGCTTCTAAGGTCTTTAACCCTGGGGTTATAGTGTCGAGTTCTGATTCTGAGGAGAGTGAAGAAGCTGAAGAATCAGAGGACTCAGCTATTGATTCCAGGAGGAAACCCTTATTTGACATCGAGGCATTCCTAAAATACACAGGAAATGTGGAGGATTGGCTGGAGAGGATAGAAGAATTTGGTAATGTCACAGGCATGCTGCCACTCATCTTCATGGTATAAAATCATGGACTCTTGAGTCTCATCCATCCATGTTTAAAATGGAAAGGCATGCTGGTATCACCACAAATCCAGTCAGTGTCTAGATTCCCACTTAAGTAATACCTCAATGACAAAGTCCTTCCATTGCCCTATTCCAGGATAACCAAATTGTCCCTTGTAAAGAACTAATAATACACCATTTCAGTCATCCATCTACATATACTACTATGTTACAATTATCTTTTATACTTTCCTGTTACAATCTAAGGTCCAGTGTATTTATTCATCTGTGATTTTCATCTCAGAGGTGCAGTTGGAATTGAGCAATTATCAGCATCTTGCTTTTATGAATAATCTTTCCAAGTTCCTTTTCTCTATAGCCATTGGAAGTTATTTTCATTTTTGACTAGACTTTGTAAAGTTTTCTATTGTCTTGAATGCATCCATGGCACAATTCATTCAAAAATACTCTTCTTTCTGAATATCCTTCTTTTATTTACGACTGACACTTCTATATTACCGTAACTAATGACATTTATCAAATTTTCCATTTTACTATATAATATTTCCAATATGTGTCTAATTTTATGTTTTTATACAAATCACAATTTCACCCAAACTATTGTGAAGCACTGAGTTATATAATGACTTGAAAAATCTTCCCAACTTTAAACATGTTTTCTATACACTGAAATGCAATACTTTTCTTGAGATGTGCACCTATGTTTTGTTTATTCCTCCTCTTGATACAGTGCCTATGACAAGAGAACCCTCCAAAGCGTATGAATACAAAGTGTTTGAACAGGACTACAGTGTCCCCTCCCGCTCTTACATCGACCACCTCACCACCTACAGTATGTATCCCAAAGTGCAAAAATATGTAAGGTCCTACATGTATATAAAGTCTTTTGACTTTTTTGTTATAGAGTGAGTATATAGCATGAAACTGTAAGTATAATCAAGCATGAAACTATCAAACATTTCACAGTTTTAAGCATATTTGATTATAATTAAAAAAAAAAAGGATATTTATATATAATGTGGATTGATAATGTAAAGGATAATGAAAGTGGTACGTATTAAAACTATATTTCGATAATATTTAATGTGATAGGATATGTACCTGAAATTTACTTAATATTCAAATTGTTTCTGTAAATTTGTGACAAATTATAAATGAATTTTCCGTGAGTGAGATGTGTATTTTCTGTCAGTTCCTCCAAGACTGCCTATCGAGAAGCCCGAGTTGTACACCATCAGTCCCGAGAGTGTGACACTGACATGGAAGCGAGCCCGAGTACCAGACAAAATCAGGGACACCTGTAATCTCTCTTACACTGTTGAGGTAAGATATATTTGTTTCCTAACCAGATTGAAATCCTTGATGGTTAATTAACTAGACAAGTGCATTACTTGAAAAAAGGTGCTACTACTATATGATATATCAAATTAACTGCTTTTATTGTGAGTACCATGCAGAGATTTACCTGTACTAATTTAAGGTGAGGAACCCACCTAACCTGGACTGGCGTGAGTTTGTCACTGGACTGACGACTACAAACACTGACCTGAAAGGCCTCCACCCCCGGCTGGATTATCTGTTTAGGATCCGTGCCTGGAATGAATATGGCTGCAGTGAGCCTAGTCTCCCTGTGTCATTACACAGACCAATTGGTAAGTATATGTTTAGTAGGTCCAGATCCAGTATAGTAATACAGTCAAACCTCATTATCTTGAACTCGATGGGATCAAGAAAAAACTTTGAGATATTCAAGGCTTAGAGATATCGAGGGTAAAATACTTAAAAAGTAAGTGCTTGGGACGTCCCAACTCACCTCAACATAACCATGGTATTCGACACTGAAAATCGACTGTATATGCATGTCAAAATATTCTTCAGAATTCTCGATGTGTTTAGGTATGTTCAATACTTCACAAGGAAAATAAATATGTATATTTTTTTATCTGTATGAGAAATATAGATTCTTATTTTTTTTCAGTCGAGTGAATTGTGTTTTGATCAGTGATGCTGGTAAATTATGATTGGTTGGTTATAAATAGTGGAGGGATTTTCTGGACTTTCTGACTATTTCTGTTACAGAGCTGTCAGATGACTATGACTCAGGAGAAGACTGGGATGAACAGTACAGAGTCACTCTTGGAGATCTAGGTACATACCTTAAATTCCCAGAATTCTCAGGCATTCACACAGTCCTCTAGAATAATCTTAGACTTTCTTAGAACATCTTTATTATACATATGTAGAATACATTCACTATTGTCCACTTTGCATTGAAATCAACCAAGTCCCAGATTTTCTCTCTCTTTGTTTGTTTGGTTTTTATTTTCTTTTTATACCCCCGCTCCGAAGGAGAGGGGGGTATACTGTTTTACCCTTGTGTGTCTGTCTGTCTGTCTGTCTTTCTGTCCGTAACAAATTTTGGTCGCAGTTTTCTCAGCAACTACTCATTGCAGAAGCTTGAAATTTTAGCACAATCTTTGTTTAGGCATGCCATATGGTGGGATTCATTTTTGTAGGAATTGGATGTCCACTTCCTGTTTATCCGTGTGTCTGTCCGTACCATACATAACAAATTTTGGTCGCAGTTTTCTCAGCAACTACTCATTGCAGAAGCTTGAAATTTTAGCACAATCTTTGTTTAGGCATGCCATATGGTGGGATTCATTTTTGTAGGAATTGGATGTCAACTTCCTGTTTATCCGTGTGTCTGTCCGTACCATACATAACAAACTTTGGTCGCAGTTTTCTCAGCATCTACTCATTGCAGATGCTTGAACTTTTAACACACTCTTTGTTTAGGCATGCCATATGGTGGGATTCATTTTTGTATGAATTCGATGTCAACTTCCTGTTTATCCGTACGTCTGTCCGTACCATACATAACAAATTTTGGTCGTAGTTTTCTCAGCAACTACTCATGGCAGATGCTAGAAATTTTAGCACAATCTTTGTTTAGGCATGCCATATGGTGGGATTCATTTTTGTACGAATTGGATGTCAACTTCCTGTTTATCCGTGCTTCTGTCCGTACCATACATAACAAACTTTGGTCGCAGTTTTCTCAGCAACTACTCATTGCAGATGCTTGAAATTTTAACACACTCTTTGTTTAGGCATGCCATATGATGGGATTCATTTTTGTACGAATCTGATGTAAATTTCCTGTTTATCCATGGGTCTGTCCGTACCATACATAACAAATTTTGGTCGTAGTTTTCTCAGCAACTACTCACTGCAGGTGCTTGAAATCTTAACACAATGTTTGTTTAGGCATGCCATATGTTGGGATTCATTTTTTACTAATCCAATGTCAATTTCCTGATTATCACTGTGTTTGTCCATAATTGAACTTGTGTATTCACATCAGAGCGGGGGTATTATTAGTGAGCATTGGCTCACAGACTTCTTGTTTTCGTTTATCATTCACTTTTTCAGTTAAATTTTATTATTTGATTTGTGTAACAGTGTGACAACTTTCTTTTATATAGTTTTTAAATATATTGTCTATTTGATTGAAAGTTTTTCATCCTATGAATATGAACAAGTTCTATTTTTAAACATTTCTTGCATGTTGAGGTCTTATTGCAGATTGGAGTCTTGACCTATAAACGTAATGTTATAGAGGTATTTGCTTTCATAATAAAATCACAGTTCCATATTCCATTTATATAATTGTGCTGAGACCATATAAAATTTTACATGAGAATTAGAGATCCCCTGTTTTAAATTTCAGACACACCAATTGATGAAGGTATTCTTGTGTTTGGTTGAATGGAGTGTGAAAATTTTACATGATTAATCCTGTTGCTTCTAAAATATCTCTTCATGAGAATTATTTCTTAATTATAAACTAACAGATTTATTAATTGTTTGTCAGATTTTTGGAATAACTACCCTTGTAAATGTACACATGTATTTATACCACAAATATTTATGCTTTTGAATCAAATATTTGTTTAAAAAAAAAAAGTTTTCCAATGAGTGAATGGTGGACTTACTATTTAACATTTCTAAGTGTGACAATTTAAAGCTATACCTTGAATACAGCTTTTTAAATTTATACACATTATCCCATATATACATGTATACTCATCTGTAAATCTAAGCTCTTGTTTTCTTCAAAGAATTGGTTTCATTGTGTGAGTTTTTTCCATTCGTGTACATTAAAAAACAATGGTATTTTTATTCTATATAGGGAACCGCTAATTTCTATTGTGTATAAAACAAGAGATGAATGTATGGTGACATAAGTTTTTGTTAACAGATTGTTCAAAATAACAAAATCTTTAGAATAAGTTGACATAGTATAATAATTTCAGCTTTTTAATAAATTTATAGACATAATAGATCAAAGTATAGAATATGTTTATAGTTATGAAGTAAAAGTAGTTTGGTTAATTAATAATAGTTATCCTAATTAATTTATAAATGTTTAATAACAGCAATAATCTGAATAGGTGACTTACAGCAACAACATAGAAAATAGTTAAAGACTAATATATATTAAATTAAAAAAAAATGTATATGTTTGCATTATGGTAAACAAACATATTTCTTATTGAGGGGAAAATGTTTACATTCCATATCTAATATGGCATCTTTATTTCCTTGATTATGTTTCAGGATTTGTATATGTACGTTTGTTTCTCAGGAATTTTGCAGAATATAAGTAGAAAAGTAGTGTTTATTGTAGATGTCAATTAATCTGCCTAGATTGGATAAACATTATATAAATAAATGTCTTTTTTTAGCTCCACCAAAATTACCCATGGAGACACCCAGAATCACAGACAGTGGAAAGACTGCTATGTTGTCATGGTTACCGGCCAGAATACCAGCATATGCCAAGAAAACACCAATCACTTACATCATAGAAATCAAGGCAAGTTTACAGATGAAAGAAAAGGCAATTTAAGTTTTTAATCAAGATTTTGGCACTGATAAATATTATTTTTCAAACCTAAAACTGTGAAGTAATGCTATGAAGTTGACTCCTTATTTTCCTGTAGGAGCCCCATGTTCCTGGATGGTCTAGATTGACCAGTGGAATCAGTGATACCAGCTACTTTATTGAAGGTCTGCGACCTACACAGGATTACCAATTCAGGGTCAAGGCCGAGACCCAGTATGGAGTCAGTGATCCCACGCTCCCAGCATCCTTGGATAGACCCAAAGGTTAGTTGACATGGGTCATGGAATATTTTGATGGTCAAGATTATTTATGACTGTATATGTTATCTATAGAAGAGGTAGGGATATTGTCTGTGCATTAAGTTTACATAGGTAATAGAATAAGTTCTGTTCCTTTGAAAATTAATTTTGTCTATTAGAAAATGTAGGAGCTCTTTAAATGCTTAACAAATATCATTTACCAACCGCTTTACAGAAAAAGGGAGGAAGATAGAGTTCCTTCCAGATATGGAGTATTATGAACTTTTTAAGCGAGACTGGAATTACACAGGTAGACACTGGGTCATATCTTATGACCTTGTAACTGTGACCCCTCCACAGTGCTTCCAAATCTGACCTTGACCCAATTTCCTCTACTTCTACATAAAAATGCATTTATATCTTACGAACAGTTGTTGAAGTTTTGCCAACAATATCCTTTGCTTATTATAATGTGAAATTTAATTCAATGGTGCATGAAAATATTGATCATTGATATGTTTACCTTTGTTCATTTTCTTGAATGTAATGTACTAATTTGCAGTAACTCTAAATGCCTTTCTCCAGTGATGTTTATCAGTTTTCTTTAAATTTACAGTGATTATGCATTTAACATCTTTAAGCCATATTCTGCATGGACTTGCCAGAGAAAAGTGAGGTGTAATTTGAATTGAGGCATGAATCTTGCATGAATAGAGATTATCATAAAGATGAAAAAGTGTATGGGATTTTTTTTTATTTTATACATATGTTGCCATTTTTTTAAATAGAAGAATAAAGTTATAGATGATTAAGTTATTGAGACAGTTGAGGAAGTTATTGTGATCAAGATGAAATAAAGTGTGATATACTAAGATTAATCTAGAAACTAAACCATTAGACACTCAGATCATTAATTATGACAAATTCACAGAATAACACTGATTCAAGATGATTTACTAATCTAGAAATAACAACATGTAAGTATTAACTTTGGCATGTGAATGTTATAATGCTAGAGTTATGAGAGTTATGTGACATAACTTATGTCCCTTTAGTAATGGCTGACACTACTGGTTTACAGATAAGAACAAGAGGCCGAGTGTTGATCTTCTGAGGGAGGATATAGACTTACCAATAAAGAGGGAGCCTCAGTCTTCTGGAGGTACATATTCTCTGTCTATGTGTGTGTGAGGATGTGTTGGGGGGGGGAGGGGGGGGTGAGGTAGGACAAAGACTTACCAATAAAGAGGGAGCCTCGATCAGCCTTCTGGAGGTACATGTCTATGTTTGTGAATGTATGTATGTGTGTTGGGGGAAGGGATTGTTGTAGCTGGAAATAATACACCAAATATACAAAGCACCAAATATCATTGGATTGTGAGAAATTGGATAGCATTAGGTTTTTGTACCATAAGCTATGATCATAATGTAAATCATTTATACCTGTATCTGAGGATAATTCAGTCAAATTTCTCAGTTTCCACACTCTAAAAATAAAGGTCATCAGTGATCTTCTAAATCCAAAATCTTACATAAGTTGATAGATTATATTGCTTACTCTTGTACAGTTCCCCCTCGGATCCCCTCCTCACGACCTTTGATCACTCAGCAGCTGCCAGACAGACTCTCTCTGTCATGGATGCCAGCCCGAGTTCCTTCTTACGTGAAGAACCAAAGGCTAACATATGTTGTTGAGGTCCGCGAGCCCCCAAGCACACTGTGGAGGAGTCTGAAAGAAGATCTCAGGGACACTGAGTTTGATGTGACTGACCTTAACCCTGATCAGGACTACCTGTTCCGAGTGCGAGCCAGGAATGAGTATGGTTTGAGCGAGCCCACCATGCCTGCTTCAGTCATCAGGAATAGAGGTACACAAGTCTTCTATTTATTGTTTATTCTTTGTATTTAGTTTTGAACTCCACCATAAAAAAGTAATAATTTATGAGAACTCAAGTAATTTCCATATTTGATTGTGTTCAAATACATGTATAAAAGTTATATGTCTTTGTCTCAAATATTACATGATCATATTATAAAAACAAACCCTAGGATACAAAGATAAAGTCTTTTGTTATATAAAAGCTTTGGAAATAGCTGTAGCTATGCTATAGGATTTTTTTCACACAATATTTCAGATGACTATGTACCACACATATCCAGTCGGTCTGGATCTTTCGATAGTGGGAGTCCTTGGGTCAGATCAAGGGCTTCTTCTGTAGAGAGCTTGAGGAAACAAAAGTCATTTGACTTCACAGATGATGAATCTGACATCTATATCAACAGGGAGAAAAAAGGTATTGCTTCAATATAATGTTTATAATGAGTAACTTTATTGCACATTTTTATTTGAGGTATTGTACCGCTGCTTACATCTCATTATTTCCATTTCTATAAATAGCCTGTCCTCCTGAATTTAAGTCCACAAATGAGGACGTACATTATGGTGTAGCAGGGACTTTCTGTAAGGTGACCTTGGGGGTCAAGGGTTATCCCCTGCCCACTACCTCATGGTTCTTTATGGGGGCTGAGGTGGATTATGGGGACAACTTTAAAGCTCACATATCCCCAAGTGGTAATGCCACCCTTGAAATCCTCAAATTGACCAGGGACCTGATAGGGGAGTACAAGTGTACTGCCGAGAATGAACATGGAGCTGCAACAAAGATCATCAGACTAGAACTGGCAGGTAAGGGATTTATAGCAACAAAGATCATCAGACTAGAACTGGCAGGTAAGGGATTTATAGCAACAAAGATCATCAGACTAGAACTGGCAGGTAAGGGATTTATAGCAACAAAGATCATCAGACTAGAACTGGCAGGTAAGGGATTTATAGCAACAAAGATCATCAGACTAGAACTGGCAGGTAAGGGATTTATAGCAACAAAGATCATCAGACTAGAACTGGCAGGTAAGGGATTTATAGCAACAAAGATCATCAGACTAGAACTGGCAGGTAAGGGATTTATAGTAAAAAAAAAAAGAGAAGATAAGTTTTGTTTAATTTTTTTTACAGTGTAATATATGTATTACATTTGTATTTCTGGAGCATGCAATTTTTTTTTAAGTCTGTTTATACATTTATATAATGCTTGACCTTATTTAAACTACTTCCAGGACCAAATTTTTAATCTAATTGAAAAAAGAAAATCAGATTATATCATTTCATGTATTACATGGAGTGTGTATTTAACAGTAAGTTTTAAATGTACAGTAAAACATGCTTATTAGGAAGTCCTGGGAACATTAATTTTTAGTTCCATATATCTTCATATCCATACAAGTAAATGTTATAAGGGATGGGTGAAAGATATTACATCCTTATAACCAAGATTTTCTTAAATTCAAGTTCCTTGTAAGTGAGTTTTACTGTATCCTTCATAAAAAAGATCATGTTAAAATAATTTAATCATCTGCAAGGGATAAGTATCTATAAATGTGAACAGAATATATGTCAACTGACACAAATTAGAAATTACATTTGCCAGATTATTCCCATTCAGGCTTAAAAACTAATTTTAACAATTTTCCAGACCAACCCACTGTCCTTGACCCACTTTCTGACCTGACCTTGGACAGTCACCAATCTGGGAAATTAGTCTGTCGAATAGATGGCCTGCCTTATCCCACAGTCAAATTCCTCAAAGATTCTCGCCCCCTGACTAGTTCCTCTCGTCTGAGGGTTGATTATGAGCCCCCAGACACCTGGACCTTGACCCTGGACAAGGTCATCACCACAGACTCGGGGACGTACACTTGTGTAGCGGAAAATATGGCAGGAAAGAGCATCTGCACAGCCAAAGTCACTGTTGAAGGTAGGGATTATTTCATTGGTCCAGAATTGAACATTTGTATTTAGAAGTATTTTTGTAGATCAAGAGTGTATGAGAGGAGACATTTGATTTAATGATTAACATTTTTAGGATAGTTTTGTAGACTAGTTTATATATGTATATTTTGAGGATATGATGTGTGTTTATAGTGTGGTGTTAGTATTATAGAATAGTTTACTAAGAATAGTTTACTAATTGTTTGTTACAGAAAATGAAGATCACTTAGGTATATTGCATGAGGCCAAAAGAAACTTGTAAATCTTTAAAACATTTATTTTTTATGTTGTTGCTTGCTTTGATAATTTCACCCCCCCCCCAAAAAAAAAAAAAAAACATATGAGACCTATTCCTGTACTTTCTTTCTTTAACAATGGTTTGATAGATAAAAAGGTTTGATACCTAAAAAATAAACAAACAGTTTAGTAATTTCAAAAAAAAAGTTGTGATTTGCAGTATATGTTCAACTCCAGATACTCTTCAAACCATGAAGATTATTTCCTGATATTATCCTGCACTGAATACCAAATTTTTGCATGAACTAATTTTTTTTATTTCATGAAATAATAAGCTATTAAACAGCTTTCTTTTTTGTCAGAGTTCTAAATTCTTTTACAGCCTGAATATGACTTTAACAAAATCATTTTCATTGATATTCATATGCAAGCTTGTACATTGTAATTCATCTTCTGTTAGGACGACTTTCATTCACTGTTTCATGCATTATTTTTTATGTGCTATATTTAGATCGAGACCTTATGGTGAAGCCCCTCCCCTACAGAGAAGCCTTTATGGAGGATTACTACCATGTACTGGAGGAAATAGGAAGGTAGGTTCCACAAGCAACATCTAGCAATCTGGAAGTGGGGGGGACAGACTTGGTTAAGCATGGTAATAATCAGGAAAGAAAGGATTTTTAAGGTCTGTGGAGTACATGTATATTTTTTACAATATATGAAGTTATGCCTATTTTGACTTGATAAAACAAAAAATAAGCAAATAGTGATGTAGTAGAGATAAACAATTTATCACCAACCCATTTTATTATGAATCTTATGTTACAGAGGCAGACACGGTATTGTGCGGCGTGTCCTGGATAAGTTCACAGGGAGCGAGTATGCCGCAAAGTTTATACATATATGTGATGAACATCAGCGAAGGTTCTTCAGGACTGAACTGAACATCCTGAGATGGTTAAACCAGAGGGGTGTTCCTAAACTGGTGGACGCTTTCGTCACTGAGAGGAGGATTGTTATCATTATGGAGATGTATCCTTTGTAGTTAGAGTACCAGCCAAGTTCCCTAACAGAATGTTATGTCTTATCATGGTCTCTTTCTCAGAGGACATTTTGTGTTTCTTAAAGCTAGTACCAAAAAAAGGAGGCATTCTCATTAAAGAGTAATAAATGCAGAATCACTTGGATTCATCAGATTTGTTAATGTTATGTGTTGCTCTATCCGTTTTAACGAAATAAAGAAATTTACTTGTGTTAGGTAATTTACTCTACACTTCATCAAGGAATCTTTTGTGTAAATATTCTCCCATGTATAAATATCTTTGTACCTATTTTATTCAGTATTAACAATGCATTGTCTTTGTATCATGGGACTATCCTGCACAAGTGTTGTTTTTGCTACTATATGCCTAATTAACATGTGTAACAATATACATAAAGAACAGGAAGGATTATATTATTTCTCCTTGACCTTTTACCTCAGTGTGACTGATTATGACATCATAGACCGAGTTCTACAAGACCTCACCCCCACAGAAAGTATGGTGGCCACATACATTAAACAATTACTCCTAGTCATGAAGGAGCTCCATAAGGCGGCTGTCCTTCATCTGGACATCAAGGTATTGGATACACATTTTTTTTTATAAATTTTACTGAACATCAGAATATTTGAATTTTTGACATGAGCAATATGAGACTCATCCCTTGTCCTATTTTGGGCTTTTATCTTGGCAATTGTGTGTATGTTAGGTTGCCCTAAGAGATTTCAAGTCTTGCAAAGAAAAAGATCAATGACTTTTATCAAAAAGTGGATATAATGTAGTGTTTTCATTATGCATATACTTTATTTAACCCTGCATGTCTTTAAATTTCTAAAATGTTTAAATGTCAAGGTATGGAATTAAATGTCACACTGGCAGTAGCAGTCTTGAATTGTGGTTTTCAGAGTAAAGTGTACTTAATATTTTCAGCCATCAAACATTAGATTCAGCACAAACACAAATCTGACACTGATTGACTTTGGATTTTCGGAGAGACTCGAGCGCAATGAAGAAGTGAAGAAGAATTATGGCACTGCAGGATTTTGTTCCCCAGAGCAAGTACACAATGAGGTGGTGACCGAGGCTTCTGATGTGTGGGCTATAGGAGCTACAGTCTACACAATGTAAGTAACAGGACATCTTATGATATTTTTTGTGCAGATTTGAACCTTTCTGCAGTCTTGTATAAACACCTCTGACTTTGTATTGCAGATTGACTGGATTGTCTCCCTTCCCTGGCTCAACAGAACAGGAAGTTCTACAGAGTACCATCCAATACAGATGGCAGGAAGTGGACAGTTTGTCCGCAGAAGCCAACGACTTCCTCTCTAAAATTCTTATCAGAGATCCCAAGTAAGCTGTAGAAGAAATCATTATTACAGTGAACATTTTCACTGCCAAGTAATTACCCAGTTAACAGTTCTGTGATTTTAATGGATGCCAAATTCATGTAGTATTAAATTCATTTCTTCCAATAAACAGAGTATCTTAAAAAATTTTTTAAATCACTTTGACTTGTTTGACAGAGAGAGAATGACTGTAGACGGTTGTTTGTCTCATCCCTGGATTAAGAACGCAGAGTCCCAGGGAGGCGTGATCAGTCGTGACAAGCTGTCTGAATTCCAGACTCAATACAAACTTAAGGTGAATTTCAGTGGGTCAGACAGTGGGTCATTTTATTCAAATCCAGTATTAACTTAGGTTGAGTGTGAGTATGAAATAGGGTGAGTGAGATTGGATCATTTCATCCATACCAAGTACAACTTAGGGATAGTGTTATAGTACAAATTTAGTATAAGTATCAGTAGGTTAGTGGATCAATGCAGGAGGATTGAGTGTATATTCATATATGAATTTAAATTATATATAAATATTAATAGAAATAAATGTAATTACATTAAAAATTAGACATAAGGAATCCTTGTGACTTTCATATAACTGAGTTTAGCTGTAGGTTATTATGGTTCTGTCTGTTTCTTATAGTGTACAACTTCAGCTACTAAGGGCCCAGTCAGACTTCAGTCCCTTCTGTCTGTGCTGGAAGGTAAACAAGAGACTGGTATTCATGTTGATAAGGACTCAGCTACAGGAGAGTTGTCTTTCCCTGAGTCCGGATTATATGGAGAATTTCTGGACCAGGAGTCCTGGTTTGACTGGCAATCAAGGTAAAAGCTATGTTCATTTTGTATAATCCATTTAATAATCTATGGTAGAACTTGGTTTAGTTCATTGGTAATGTATCATAGAACTTGGTGCAGATCAAATTACATGTAAGCATAATGCACAATTCTGAGGTGTTCATTAAATGCAGTCAGTTTAGAAATGCATTTGTAAATCTGATTTTATTGAATTATTTTTCTTTAATTCTACATATGTTTGTTTTCCTGTAGGTATTATTATGGACTTGATGCTGATGAGTCTGACACAGAGCTTGAGTCGGTATGTGGTGACCCTATCATAAAGAAGGAGAGAGAATGGCTACAGATGGCTGAAACAGAGAAAAAACAGCTTCAGAGGCCCCAGGACTTCTTCCCCAAGGAAGAGGAGGAGGAGGGTAAGTCCTGAGGACATCATCTGCTCCTCAAACAGGTGTGGTCATTAGCATTGCTCTCCCATAAAGATGTATACCAGATGGATAGAAAGTTACCTTTTTGCAAATTCAGCAACTCCATAAATGCCAAACTTAGATTGCAGTATTCAGCAATGATGAAGAATTGAAATAATTCTTGCTTTGATTAGTATAACTTCCACTATAATTTCCCCATCATATTTACCATGGTTTACACTTGCCTTAGTATAAAAAAATAAATTTCAGTGTCTTAAATGTGAATACTAGTATGTCCAAGTAAGTACATGGTCACAACTGCAGATTTTAATGGATTTTTAAACTTTAACAACCTTATCTTGAATACTCAGATATCCGAAGTTTTTTTAGGCCCATAAAATTAGAGATATTGGGGTTTAACTGTATTCTTAACAAATTTTTCCTTTCCTCTGATTTAACTATTATTTGTTGTTCATATATCTACAGACAACCCCCAGTTCACCATCAAGTTACATGACACATACTACAAGCCAGGGGAGGTGATCACTCTGTCGTGTCATGTCAGCAGTTCCTCTGCCTTCAGTGTGTCCTGGTTTCAGAACGAGGAACTGGTCACAGACGGGAAGAGAATGAAGACCTCTCTTACAGAGGATGGAATAGCCACACTCAGCATCACCTCAGCTAAGGCTTATGATGATGGCATTTATAAATGTACAGCGAGAAACAAGACTGGGAAATCATCAACTTATGCCAGAGTCATGGTGGGAGGTAAGGGGTCTTAAAGCTTGCTGAAAATGAAATTAAGAATATCCCAATACTTGACAACTTTGTTGAAGAATTAACAAGTTTGTAATTTCCAATTCTTTGATGCCTTTCTCACAGAAACACCTCCTCAGCCTGGTCGACCAGTCATTTCACAGATATCATCATGTGATGTCCTGTTACTATGGGAACCACCAGAGAATGATGGGAACTCTGACATCATCAACTACCGAGTGGACTACAGGCAGTCAGGTAAACCAGTTCTCCTTGTTGACTTATCTTATTGATGTAAAGAGTACGGTATATTACAAATTTATGGTTAATCTTATGTTTTTACACCTTGATAAAATGTTTTCTGATAAAGTTTTCTAACTTTCAGGATCAGACAGGTGGTGTTTGGGAACCTACTCTATTGATGAGTGTGCCTTGGTGACTGGACTTCTTCCCAACACATCTTACCGTTTCAGAGTCTGTTGTACTAACAATATAGGGGACAGCCCTTACAGCGTGTCCTCAGTTCTCATCACTACCAAACCAAAAGGTCAGTGTGTATTGTACTAACAATGTAGTGTCTGCCAACAAAAAAATAGTAAATAGAGGAAAGTAATTCTTCCAAGCCAAAAATGGAGCTAGAGTCAGTGATTTCAGGAAGTCATTTAAAATTTAAATATGTTCAGAACAAATCAGTGGGCAAGTAAAACTGGTATGTAACTACTTGATATCTGTATATTTATTAGGTTCTGCTGACATCAGCTTGGATCCATTCATGATCTCCCTATTGTCAAGACAACATGAAGGACTGTCATTTTATCAGCCTCCAAAGAACAAACTGTCACCAGAGGACATCGGTACAAGGGAAATAACTCTACAGACCTCCAACGTAGAGGACCAGTACAGCTTATCTAATGTTCTGTGGAGGTAAGTTTTCTTGAGAGTATAATTATAGTGAGATGATCAAATAGTCTTTTCAAAATCATATTGGAATCCTTATAAATCTCTATTTTACAATTTTTATTTGAATGAAAAAATCTAATTTGAATGAATTCAGTTGAAGTTAAACTATAGAATTATTTGTGATTATATGTTAAGTTTTGAGCAAAATGACTGACAGGGCCCTTATGCATTTTTATTTTTCAGGGGAAATTACTCCTCATCTTATGTGCTTTCCACAGACAAAACAAAGAAGATCCATTACATTGCAAAAATTACACCGATTTCTGATTTATACAAAGACAGATTATCTAGAGAACTGGAGATTCTGCGTACCATGAGACATGAGAGATTTGTTCATCTCTATGATGCCTATTTATATAATGACAGATATTACTGGATAATGGAATACCTATCTGGGGTTAATGTTGTGGAACACTTTTCTTATAAATCCAAATATACAGAGGATATGGTTGCCATAGTAATACGACAGGTTTTGGATGGATTGTCGTTCCTGCATTACCATGGCTATGCTCACCTGAATATTCAGCCTAGCAGTGTGATGATGGTCAATCGACGAAGACTCGACATCAGAATTGTCGATTTTAGCTTGGTTCAGAAGGTCACTAAGGAAGGCCAAGTTGTTCCCAGAGAGGGCAATCCTGAGTTTATGGCCCCTGAAGTGGTTGTCAAGGAGACGACCTCATACCCTGCAGATATTTGGTCTGTTGGAGTTTTAACATTCTTGTTGTAAGTATTGTCTTTGTATGGTGTATTTTATCATTGGGCATTATGCAGGTATATGAACAATGGGATATTTGTTTAATCTCATAACACTCCACTTTAAATTACTTTTATACATGAACATAATTACACAACATAATATTAATTGTATGCAATATGCTATAGTATGGGTTGGTGCAGACCATGACAAGTGATTGAATTTTGACCCAGTGGTTGAAAAGTGCTTGAAAATGCATAAACAGCAAAAGTCATGGAAGAGTGTTTAGATTTGCATGTTGAGTGCTTGATTTTTATACACCTGTATATTATGGGATGTTTTATGGTACATGTATAGCAATCACGTCCGTTCATCTGTCCGTCCGGCTGTCCATCTGCCTGTCTGTTAGCTTTTTTGTGTCCTAGCTTTAATGAGGCCTTAAATCATCAAACTTTGTAAGCTGATGCATCTTGGGTTGAAGGTGTGTCAGGTTTAAAAATTACATCACTATA